ACCTAAACTAACCTAACCTAACGTAACCTAACGTAACCTAACCTAACGTAACTTAACTTAAACTAACCTAACCTAACGTAACCTAACGTAACCTAACCTAACGCAACCTAACCTGACCTAACCTAACCTAAACTAACCTAACCTAACGTAACCTAAACTTACCTAACCTAACGTAACCTAACCTAACTAACATAACGTAACGTAACCTAACGTAACTTCAACTAACCTAAACTAAACTAACCTAACCTAACCTAAACTAACCTAACCTAAACTAACCTAACGTAACCTAAACTAACCTAAACTAATCTAACCTAACATTTTCATCTTCATTAGATGCTGTAACGCCCTTATTATTAGAGCTTGTTTTTGCCATGTCTGATAATTTACGACAAATTTCTTCTGTGAATGTCTTTAATTTGTTCCCCCACCCACAAAAACACCTTATTCATTAAATGTGGGGGCTCATTACTTTCTGAGTTCGAAAAAACTAACAAAATACTTGCGCTATCGGCATTTCTCACTGGAACCTCTCAATAAAATTTTCCAATCATCTTGGTTGCAGGCATCAAAAATGGAAGGAACCGTCTCTGTGATATTAGAAACACTTCTGCACTAGATGGCTCTCCTGCAGGAAAAGAAGAACGAGGATATATCAAATGGACGTCCTGACATTCGGTTTTACTTAACACAGCGTAAAAATTCACGACGATCCAGGTGCAGACAGCGCTGCCACGGCTGACGGTGGGCAACAACGTAACCCACAAGAGAGACTTCGGTCAATGGACGTGGTGTTGCAACACAAGAATAGCATATGAGGGACTCAATGCGATAATACACCAGTTCTTGTGCAACACAAACATTGCAAAAGTGTGGTTTATGAACATGACATACATATTTTGAAAAATTTCAAATTTAAATTTTTTCTAAAATATATCAAACATATTTGGTTTTGTGTGCTCTTCAGACAATTTCCAGCAATTTTTGATTTCTCGATTTTTTTTAAAAAATTTGAATTCTTTTTCCAAAATTTTCCCTACCCTTTCACTTCCACGACCGATGTGTGCTGGACAAGGTGTCTGTAATACGCGATGTTACACGGACTCAGTCACTACCATACCTGGTCTCTGACTCACTTTTCTCTGTCGG